CTTAATGTGGGGGTCCACCTTGGAGGTCCACCTTGCTGTGGGGGTCCACCTGGGTGTGGAGGTCCACCTTGGGCGTCCACCTTACCATGGGGGTCCACCTTAATGTGGGGGTCCACCTTGGAGGTCCGCCTTGCTGTAGAGGGGTCCACCTTGATGTGGGGGTCCACCTGGGTGTGGAGGTCCACCTTGGGCATCCACCTTGCCGTGGAGGTCCACCTTAATGTGGGGGTCCACCTTGGAGGTCCGCCTTGCTGTAGGGGTCCACCTTGGTGTGGGGGTCCACCTGGGTGTGGAGGTCCACCTTGGGCGTCCACCTTGCTGTGGGGGTCCACCTTGGAGGTCCGCCTTGCTGTAGGGGTCCACCTTGATGTGGAGGTCCACCTTGATGTGGGGGTCCATCTGGATGTGGAGGTCCACCTTGGCTGTCCACCTTCACCTTGGCTGTCCACCTTGACGTGGAGGTCCATCTTGATGTGGAGGTCCACCTCGGATGTCCACCATGCTATGGAGGTCCACCTTGGACTGATGTGGGGGTCGACCATGGTGTGGAGCTCCACCTCAGATGTCCACCTTGCTGTGGAGGTTCACCTTGCCGTGGAGGTCCACCTTGGACATCCACCTTGACATGGAGGTCCACCTTGCTGTGGAGGTCCACCTTGGACGCCCACCTTGACGCAGAGGTCCATCCTTGCCCCACAGGTGACGTCACCTGAGGATGTGGGGGCCGCCCTGACCTTGACGCAGAAGGAGTTTGGGCGCCTGGACGTGACGGTGAACTGCGCTGGCATTGGCATCGCCCTCAAGACCTACAACAGCAAGAAGGACAAGGTGCACGAGCTGGAGGACTTCCAGAGGGTCATCAACGTGAGTGTGGGGCAGTGGTGGGGTGGTTTCGGGGTGTCCCATGGTCAACGGGGTGGTTTTGGGGTGTTGGTCATGGTCAACGGGGTGGTTTTGGGGTGTCCATGGTCAACGGGGTGGTTGTGGGATGTTGTCCATGGTCAACGGGGTGGTTTTGGGGTGTCCTTTTTTTGGTGGTGGGGTGTTGTCCATGGTCAACGGGGTGGTTTTGGGGTGTCCGTGGTCAACGGGGTGGTTTTGGGGTGTCCCGTGGTCAATGGGGTGGTTGTGGGTTGTTGTCCATGGTCAACGGGGTGGTTTTGGGGTGTCCCATGGTCAACGGGTTGGATTTGGGGTGTCCCATGGTCAACAGGGTGGTTTTGGGGTGTCCACAGTCAATGGGTGGGGTTGTCCCTGATCAACGGGGTGGTTTTGGGGTGTCCATGGTTTTGGGGTGATTTTGGGGTGTCCCCCCACCCCACCTCACCCTCCTCCAGGTGAACTTGGTGGGAACCTTCAACGTCATCCGCCTGAGCGCTCGCCTGATGAGCCAGAACAACCCCGACGCCGACGGCCACCGGGGTTTGGTGGTCAACACCGCCAGCGTGGCCGCTTTCGAGGGCCAGGTGAGAGCCACCACCGGGGACATTTTTATTTTTTTTGGGGTGGGGAGGACACCCTAAAAATCCCTACGCGATCCTGTAGGTGGGTCAAGCCGCCTACTCGGCGTCCAAAGGCGGCATCGTAGCCATGACCCTCCCCATCGCCCGCGACCTGGCGCCGTTGGGAATCCGCGTCGTCACCATCGCTCCAGGTGAGGACGGAACGAGGACGCGGCGGGTCGGGGGAAAAACAAAACAAAAAAATCCCTAAAAAAAATCCCCAAATTTTTTTTTTTTTTTTTTTTTTTGGATGGGGGGTGTTGTTTCTCCTCAGGTTTGTTCTCCACCCCGTTATTGGCCGGTTTACCCGAACGAGTTCGGAATTTTTTGGGCCAACAAGTGCCTTTTCCGGCGCGGTTGGGTCACCCCGAGGAATACGCCCACCTGGTCCAAGCCTTGGTGGAGAACCCCATGGTCAACGGGGAGGTGGTGAGGTTGGACGGGGCCCTTCGCATGCAGCCCTGAGGGGGTTTTTTTTTTTTTTTGGGGGGGGGGAAGGGTAAAAACGTCACCGTCCCCGTCACCGTCCCCAGGACCCCAATCCTGACCCCATCCTTCCCCCCGGTCTTGGGAGCTCTTGATCTCCTTGGGAACATTCCAAGTGGTTGAGGGGACACCAAAGGTGGCTCTGGGTCCTCTTGGGGACATCAAGGGTGGGGTTTGGTCCCTTTTTTGGGGTCTCCTGGGGACAGGAAGGTGTCTCTGTGTCCTCTTGGGGACACCAGGGTGGCTCAAGGTCCTCTTGGGGACACCAAGGTGGCTCTGTGTCCTCTTGGGGACACCAGGGTGGATCTATGTCCCCTGGTGGACACCAGGGTGGCTCCTGTCCTCATTTTGGGCCCCCTCAGGGACATCAAGGGTGGGTCTGTGTCCCCTTGGGGACACAAGGGTGGCTCAAGGTCCCCTTTGGGGACACCAAAGTGGCTCTGAGTCCCCTTGGGGACATCAAGGGTCCTCATTTTGGGTCCCCTCAGGGACATCAAGGGTGGCTCCTGTCCTCATTTTGGGTCCTGGGGACACTAAGGTGGCTCTATGTCCTCTTGGGGACACCAAGTGGGGACACCAGGGTGGCTCAAGATCCCCTTGGGGACACCAGGCTGGCTCTGTGTCCCCTTGGGGACATCAAGCATCCTCATTTTGGGTCCCCTCAAGGACATCAAGGGTGGCTCTGTGTCCCCTTGGGGACACCAAAGTGGCTCTGTGTCCCCTTGGGGACATCGAGGGTGGCTCCTGTCCTCATTTTTGGTCCCCGTGGGGACACCAGGGTGGCTCTGAGTTCTTGGGGACACCAGGGTGGCTCTGTGTCCCCTTGAGGACATCAAGGGTGGCTCTGTGACCCCTTGGGGACACCAGGGTGGCTCCTGTCCTCATTTTGGGTCCCCTCAGGGATACCAGGGTGGCTCTGTGTCCCCTTGGGGACACCAGAAGGTCCCTGACCCCACGTCACATCCCCCTGGGGACATCAGGGGTGGCTTTTGGTCCTATTTTGGGGCCTCTCAGGGACATCAAAGTGCCTCTACGTCCCCTTGGGGACACCGGGGGTGGCTTTTGGGTCCCCTCAGGGACACCGAGGTGGCTCCTTGTCCCCTTGGGGACCCCAGGGTGTCCCCTGTCCCCTTGAACCCCCCCCAGCCCCGAATAAAGTCCATTCAGTCACGCTGCTTCCCTGCCCCGCCTCCTCATTGGC